AATGACCCAAAATTGAGATGACCGATAATGACCGGTCATTTTGGGGTCATTTAAGGTCATTTGAAAAATTTGCAAATAACCAGGTCATTTACCATCATTGAGTTGCGGCACATATGAAATCCGGATGTTTTGTAAGAAAAGACAGTTTTCGCTTCTAACTTAACAATTATATCCTAAAATATAACTGACATTCTTTATTTTACAAAAAAACTTTATTATTTCATATTTTTAAATGGTTTATATTTTTTCCTCACACTAAAAACCTTTAAAATATCTTATATTGAAATGGTATTTTTAAAACTACGTATAAATGGTTGGCATGACCAATTTACAAAATATATATTTACGTATATTAACACGTCTAAAATAAATTAAAAATTTAAATTTAAAACTGTAGTATTAATAGCATATACTCATAATACCTTTAATGAGTTCTTGACCAGTAGAAATATGAATAGTTAAACACCTCTTAACGATTGTGTGAATTATGTATCGAAGTACAAAGATAAAAATATTTTGATAGCAAAAGCTTCAGAATTTAAATTTACTTTATAAAATCATCTTTCGGCTGATTTTTATTTATTTTATTTTTAAATGTTATGAGACATTTCAGCCTTCACCAAACCCGGACAATATAGAAAATTTTAGCCAATTATATATCGGGCACTTCATTAAGCTCAATAGAGTGACTTATTGCTAGAAAAATAAGTTTAAGAATTAGTTTGTCTAACTTTCTATAACTCAAATAAAAAAGGTATTCAGTGCAAAAGACTAAATAATGCCTTAAACAATTCAATTCTTGAAATATTCATTACATAGAGTCACTGCACATTAAAATATAAATTTAAGGCCAATGTTTTGAGAGTTAATATGCTTACCTGAATTTACTGGTTTAGGAAGTTTTTGAAAATTCAAAGATCGACTTGTATAAATAGCTTGCCTATGTGTTTGATAATTAAATCGTGTCGATTTTGCTTGATTTTCTTGATCGTATATTGAAAGATTTTTGGTTGAGTTTTTAATTTCTTCAACTTGTTTGTATAATTCTGTTTCTTTATTTTTCAAATTATCAAGAAATCGGCTCAACTCATTTGCTACCGCTTCAGCAGTTGGCCTGCTTTGAGGTTCAGCATCTAAGCATTTATTCATCAAATCCAAAAGTAATTGAGGAACTTTACACCTGATTTCGGGTCGACGGCCTTCACAAATTTGTATTGCTAGGCTAAAATCATGTGGAATATCATGATATGGAGGATATCCAGTGAAAATTTCTGACATAATTATCCCAAAAGAATAAATATCTGATTTTTGAGTATACTCCTTTCCTTTTGTGTATAATACCTCCGGAGCAATATAAGGAAGTACACCAAAAATATCCGTAGAACTCGAACCTTGAGTCACTAAGCCAAAATCAGTAATGTAAGAGTAAGACATACTCGCATTAACTATATTTCCGGAATGAAAATCTTTATGCACTAAATTGGCTTTATGAATTGTATCAAGCCCATTAGCTATACGACATAAGTTAAGTATTTTATGACTCCAATTTAAATCCTTATATTTAATATCTAATAATTTTCGAAGACTTCCTTGTTTTGCATACTGCATAACCATCATATAATTACCATCATCTGGGTTCTTAGTTATTCCATAAATTGAAATTGCTAAATTACCCCCATGTTCATGTTGATTTTTAACCTAAAAAATTAATTATAATAAATAATCTATATTAATTAAATATATTGATAATTCTTACCTCATTTAAAAATTCTCTTTTCATATCTTCTTTAGAACCATTTAGACTTTTTAAGCAAACACTTCTTTGCGGACTTCTCACCCATTGATTATTTTCGTTATCCCAATAATGAATATATCCGTTAGTCCATATTGCCTTAAAAACTGTTCCAAAGCCTCCCCTCCTTTAGCAAGATACTTTATGTTTGTAAATTTATCAAAAGGTATCCACTCGATAATATCTTTAAAGTACTGTGCTTTAAGTTGTATTTGTTGAATAAAGCTGTCAATATCTTGATCGCCACTTGTCCATTTCCCGAACTCTTTTTTAAACCTTAAATATCGCAAAAAATAATATGCTATTTAATATCGGTGACGTTAAGAGTTACAGTATAAAAGATTTTCTGACTTCGTATTACTTACTCTCTGCCGTAATATAGAGTATTGTATTGTATGTGGATTGGTTAATGATATGTTATTTGTGTTGGAATATAATCGATATTTCAGATTTAAAAATTTTCTTATTCCGTATTACTTACTCACTATCGTAATATAGAGTATTGTATTGGTTAATGATATGTTATTTGTGATGGAATATAATCGACATTTCTGATTTAAAAGTTTTTTTATTCCGCATTACTTACGAACTGTCGTAATATAGAGTATTGTATTGTATGTGGATTGGTTAATGATATGTTATTTGTGTTTGAATATAATCGACATTTCTGATTTAAAAATTTTCTTATTCCGTATTACTTACAGACTGGTGTGAGTATATAAATTATATAAGTATATGTCTTTATAATATGCCAATTTTTATGAGTGTATTATACTTACAATCCTTTAACTAATTCATAAGCTCCTTTTGCCCATGCATCAACTGGTTTAATTTTTAGTAAGTTTTTCAAGTCAGCAATCGATTCTTCATACCTTTCCATCATATAATTAATTTCCCCTCGATATATTAGTGCTATTTCTAAGACATGTATGTCATTATTTTTAAATTCTAACAATTTCTTTAAGTTAATAATTTCTTCTTCTTTCTCTCCTTCCTCGTTCTCATCTTCCCCGTCCTTTTCATCTTCTCCTTTTTCTCCTTTTCGAAATCCAATTAATCCAGTTAAATCTTCACATGCTTCTTTGTACCTTCCTGCAATTAAGTAAGCTTTTCCTCGAGACATTAGCGCAAATGTATCATTTGGTTTATTTTTTAATTCGTCTACATATTGATCAAAGGTTTTAGAATTGATCCAACATGCTTCCCATAATTCTTTACCAA